AAGGATTTTGGATATTATTTTATAAGTAACTCCACAGAGGCTAATGGGTCTGAAACTTTTCAAGGATTCGGGGTTAGGGCATTTAGGTACAAGGGTTATAATAGTGTGATTCCAGTTTTGAAGTAGTTGACANGTTACTTGTATTGTATTATTGTATTATTAATATTTTATTAAATTAACTTATGATATTTGTTTATTAAATTCACTGCATAATTGAATGATCTTATGGCACTTTTATTCACCTATCTATATAATTCGCATTGTTTTGTGTTACTTCCAAAAAGTTTGTATGTTGTATTTTATAATTATTTTTTTAATATTAATGTATTAAAATAATTTATGGTTTGTATCCAAATTTTTAAATGAATGTATTGGCACAATTTTTTAAGAGATGTATATAGTATTTTATAATTTAATATTTTATTAAAATAATTTATGATTGATATCCATTTTTTATAGAATTTTTGTGTATTAATTTATTATAATATAGTTGTTATGTAAGCAATCAAAATAAAGTAAAAAAATAAATAAATAAATTATAACTCATATAATTACTTGTTATTTATTTAATTTGTAACTCCAATTACTCTTAAGAAAAAAAATATAACTTTTGGATATTTGCTGCATTTTCATTATTTCTCTTAGATATTTTAGTTGTGACATTATAATTAATATTTGTTTTATTATGGATGTATTTTATTATTTATGGTGGATATTTGTCTTGTGAAATAGAGAAAAATAAGAAAAGTTAGTATGATGCTTCCACAATTTACAAAAGTTAGTAATATAAGAAATAATAAGTATTAAGTCAAATAATAAATATTACTTCTAATTTGCAATATATATTATTTAAAAATCACCGTCATCCATGTTTATTTTCACCACTATGTCTTCAAATGGTTACACATATCTATGTTTATAGTTATAAAATAAGTTACATGTAATGAGGAGTCAACAATATTCATATTTTGAAACATGAAACTATAATTTAGGACCTTCTATCATTCCAGTACAAATTAATAATTCCAATTTAATGCCATATATATGATTATTTAATTTTCGATAAATAGTTGTAGTTGTAGTCTATTTTCAGCATTCAGAATGTAATTATCTTTTAACTAAATATGGTCAAATGAGTTACAAATAAATATTATCAATTCTAATTTAATATATATTTTTAATATTATTTACAGTTGAATAGTCATTAATATTCAATGTCATTTTCAAAATTTAGTAAAACCTCATTGAAGTATATATCATATGTAACAAGTTAATACATTATTAATATGTTTTTTAAAAGTAAAAATACAATTTTTATGTAATAAACAACTCACTTTTTTAGTTTTATCGAAATTAAACAAAATGAATTTAACACATTTTCCGCTATATGGTTTTAAAATCCTATAATAATTTAAATGGAATGAAGTTCAATTTTCAAATAGTAACTATCTTTAAAAGAGAGTTGCTTCCTCAAAAAACTGAATTGTAAAAAATGCCCTACACTATAACTAATTTCTAAGGTTACTAATATAATTTTGTCACAAATGTTGGGGAGTTACAAATATTAATAGCTACTATATTTTTTAATCAAATATTATTCATTCTACTTTATTTTTATTCTTTGTTTTATCTATGATTTTGTGAATCTTTTACTATCTTTTTTGTGTATTCAATAATTTAATTTCTTTTAGTTAATATAAAGTACTTTAAGATTTTTAAAATAAAATATATTTTATTTCATAAATGTAAAATATATAATGCACCATTGAAAGTATCATCTGTAAATATCATTTTCTTTACTATAGCATTACTCTTTTTTCAAAAAGTATAACGAAAAAGAAGACATTAGAAAACTATATTATAATGATATTAATAATGATTATTAGTTTAAGTCAAATGAGGATATCATTAATTTACAAAAAGAAAGTCTGATATAAATTTCTTTTCACAAAATAAAAAATAAAAAAAAATAAAAAAATTAAAAAATATTAATTTTATTTTGGATGTTCAATCCAATGTTATATTTAATTTTATTCAATAAATATAATACATATATTATTGTTTATCATAAAATATACCATTTTTTTGTTAAATAAAGGATAGTAAATTATATTATACTATTAAATATAAATCTAATAAGAAAAATAATTTTACATAAAAATAGCAACAATAGCACGTGCATTTTTCTAGTTTGTCTAAATGAGTCTGTCATAAACTTTTCCAACAAAAGATTTGAAATTCCGAACAAAAGAAAAGCAACATACATTGCAAATAATTAAGCATGACTGTGAGTGTGTTAAGAACATCTCCAATGCTCAAAAGTAGTTGTAGTAAATTACACTCTACATTAACAAATTTAGAAATTTCTTCACTTTTAATCCTCCATTGCACAATGTCATCACAATTAATTCAGTGATGAGGTGGACATAGTCTGTATACAATGTGGAGAAAAATGTGAGTCATCCACATTCGATGTCCAACCCATATAAAAAGATATTTTTTATATGGGGTGATTCATTCACCCGATATAGAAAACACATTTTCTATATCGGGTAACCTATAATGCGGCTTCCAGATGTCTCTTCTAGATGGGGTGATTCATTCACCCGATATAAAAAGTTTACTTACTATATGTGGTATCGCCCGATATAAAAAGATGACACTTATTATATGGACTGAAACTATATCGAAACTAAAAACGATATAAAAAGTCATTTTCACCCAATATAAAAAGTGTTTTTCAATAGTGAGAGAGAAATATTGTTACCATTTTCAAACTATTTAATTATTTAATTTACTTTGTTTCATATTTATTATTATTTTTTATTTGGCTAAGTGGACAATATTGTATTTGATGACATTATGCATTTGAGATATTTTTCTAGAATTAAAGTTGTGAACCTAACAATTCTATTATGTGGTTCACAATTCATCTAATTAATTAACATTTGTCAAAATTTATGCAGTAACAACATTTATGCATTTGAGATGCTCTAAGGTTGTAACGTGGGATGCAATACCAAAGGATTTACTAACAAATGTACAAGTTATGTAAAACTCGATAACTTAAATTTAACTTAAATATTTTCTCTCTCCCTAAGAAAAAAAGCCCCAAACTAGAAAAACCCTGGAAATTTTTTCTTATCTGCGCCTCCTCCCTGTCGCCGAGCTCTCCGGTCATCCGTGTCGTTGACCGGCGTTGGGAAAGCCTTCTCGCTCCTGATTTGTTGCGATTTCTCTTTATGTGGAGCCCCTTTCTCTCCGGACGGCTTCGATGGGTACTCGACGACTAGGAGTTGCAGATGAGGCTGCAGGCGACACTCGTCGGACTCTTTAATATAGCACCCAGAAGAGCTCAGAGAACCGGATAAAGTGGTTAGTTCACGTTAAGCCGGTCCAAAGGAGCTCAAGATCAGTATGAGTGTATCATCTAGTCAGCGAGCTCGTTGACATAGCTCAGGGTACTAGTCGACCTGATAAAAGTGGTCTAGAGGTTAACACATTCGAGAGCGTGATTACACAGAGTGACCTCGCAATGCAGGGTCGTGGAAAAAGAGGTCGAGATGTCGACCTGGCTTAGCCCAATGGCAGATAGCTAGGTTAAGAGGTCGGGGCTGTGACCTATATATGGACCTGAGTGTTGTACGGTAAGAGGGGGAAAAGAATCCGAGTATAAGGAAAAGTATATCTCAAGAAGATCACGAAGTGTGGTAAGTTAGGAAAGCAGATCTGTTATATCTCTTTCCTAAGTAGGAGCATGCCAGTAGCGGCTAAGGGCGCTGAGGCACAACATCAGAAAAATCTAGGGACTAATCGGCTCAGGAATCGGTAGAAGGACAATTGTTGAACTCTAGGGGACAGAAGGTTCTCAGGGGAGACCAAGTTATCTAGCTCACCATCGCAGAGTTGGACAGAATCGTGGCTAAGGCCATGGCCCAAGCTCGGAAACCTCTACTATTCACGGAAACCTCTTCTGTTTATGCTTGAATCTGACACACTCAAGGTCCTTGATATAAAGATTGTATAAGTTCCTTATGTCATGTTTGAAATTTGAATAATCAAATTGAACAATGTTAAGATTGAAATTGCAACTGTTGATTTTACATATTGGAATTTGAGTGTTGTTGATTGTGAGTGTAGCGGCGATGAGTTGTGTTTGCTCACAGAGCTTATTTTTTAATAAAGGTTTGTGTTGTGAACAAACCTTCAACAGTGTTTAAAACGCTGAATGAGAAAGATGATGGTTTGACGTGGATTTTTAAAATATATGAGTTGAATTTTATTAATGTTTTGTTAGTATTTTAAGCAATGTGGTTATAACTCACCGGCCATATTTTATCCAGTGCTGGAAATAGCACTTATGCTTCGATCTACATAACAAAAGTAAATTCGTGATGTAATTGATAATTTTTAAAGGTGGTGATTAATTTGGAAATGTTTAGAAGGTGATGCATTTTATACAGTTTTATCTCAAATTAAATATAATTTCTCTCTCATAGTTGCTCTCTTTTATATGATTAGTTACCTTGTGAGAAGTTTTACTTGATCGAGGCGAGCTGAATGATGTACCTTAATTACTAACAAAAAATAAATAATAGTTTTTTTCATATATTTTAATCCATTGACAAGGTCATAAATAAATCATGATTTATTGATAAGGTCATAAACAAATAATATCTGTCATATGATTCTGCAACATTATTCCACTTCAAGAATCAAAGAACGATAACAAACATTNGAAAATATTCCACTACACCAGTTTGTTTAATACTTTTTAGAAGAAATGATACATAATCAATTTTGATATGGCACATAATAACAAATCGGTAAACTGGGAGGAATTGGCTCGGCTTAGCAAATCGGAGTTAGTTAATTTCAAAGTTTAATAGTAACAACAACTCGGCCTTAAGGTGCTCGGCCTTAACGTGCTCGGCCTTAATGTGTTCGGCCTTAAGGTGCTCTGTCTTAATGTGCTCGGCCTTAATGTGTTCGGCCTTAAGGTGCTCGTCCTTAATGTGCTCGGCCTTAACGTGCTCGGCCTTAATGTGCTCGGCCTTAAGGTGCTCGGACTTAATGTGCTCGGCCTTAAGGTGCTCGACCTTAATATGCTCGGCCTTAACATGCTCAACCAAGGGTGGCAGTTAGAGTATAGGTGTAACGTGGTGAGCTGGTGATGGCTTGCTCGGGTTACCGAGCAAGTTAATTAGTCTAGGAGCATGAAAGACGGTAGTCTAGAATTAGGTTAGGGGCCGAGCAGATGCAGTAGTTATGGAGAACAGTTTATGAGGGATACGTGTAGCGTCAGAATCAAAATGGAATAAACGATCAAACGGAGGAGGAACAAAGCGTGTTGGGAAAGCTAATAACTTCATATAAATAGGTAAACCATTGGAGGAGGTAAGGGTACACATTCTACAAACCCTAAATTCTATACACAACTTCCTTCTATCTTTGATCTCTTACTGACTTGAGCGTTGGAGGTTTATCGCCGGGAGGCTTTGCAGGTCTCTGAGCGGTCGGGGAGCAGAGGGAAGCCGGTTCAAGTGCATGAGCACATCAATTGGCGCCGTCTAGTTGTGTAACTCGGTTACTCTACTGATTGACAGTAAGGTTAAGATGGAAACGACGATCGGAGAAGAGCAACCGTTGAGGAGGAATTTGGACGAGAACCTGGAGGAGGCTTGGGTCACGCAAACGCCCTACGGAGGAGGACCACCGGCGGGGTGGACTGGAGGTGAGGGTCCAACGGCTACCCCTCAGGTGAATCTGCAAGTGGTGAGCCAGATCCCAGTGGCGGAGCAGAGAAGAAGCCAGGAGGCGATTGTGCAGACACCGGGGCCAGGCGTCGTGCAGGGAGGAGGGGAGCCTGAGATGAGGGTGACCAGGACGGAGTTGGACCGTCTTATAGCAGAGACGGTTAGTAGAGCTCTGGTTGCGAGAGCACAGACGGAGGTGGTGAGGCCAGTTGTGGTGGTGGCGCAGCCGGAGCTGGGCGGAGGTCGTTTAGAGCACGGTGGGCCGATAATCAACCCGGTGGTGGAGCAGCACGTTCCAGTGGTTCCTAGGGCGATGGGTGGCGGTAGCCAGCGGAGGGAAGAGCAAGAGGAGAGGTCAGTGATGTCTCCGATGGTTAATGGGCCACCCAGAGACGCGGTGTTGGAGCAGATGGCAAACCAGATTAAGGAGATGCAAGCTAGGTTGGACGGGAGACGGCTGCCCAGGTTGCAAGGTAATCAATTTACTGAGGAGGTTTTGGGTGCGGAGTTGCCTCAGAATTTCAAGGAGCCTAACCTATACTACGATGGCTCATCAGACCCGACTAGACACTTGAGGAGCTTTGAGAATGTGGCGGTGTTGCATCATTACAGTGACGGAGTATGTTGCAGGGCTTTTCTGACGACTTTGAAGGGCTCTGCTCAGGATTGGTTCCACCAGCTCCCACCGGGATCTGTCTATAGCTTTGGGGCATTTAGCTCGTTGTTTATCAATCAGTTCTCTAGTGCAAGGAAGCAGGAGAAGACCTACCTCTCATTGATCAATATGCAGCAACGTGAGAATGAGTCGCTGCGGGATTATGTTGCTAGGTACACACGAGCTTGTGTGGAGGTTCCCACTGCAACGGAAGAGATCAAAGCGGGGGGGCTCACACGAGGTTTGAAGGCGGGACATTGCAGGAACTCTTTAGCTAAGAAGCCTGCAAGGTCATATGATGAACTATTGGAGAGGTGTGCCAAATATATGAACATGGAGGAGACGGAGGCGGACTTCTTGGCACAAGATCGAGCGATGGGAAAGAAGCATGATGAGAAGTACAGACCAGATGAGAGGAGGTCAAGAGGTAGGGAGAGCAAGAATGAGGAGAATGGGCGTATGGGTTTTAAGTATGAGCATTATACGCCACTAACATCACCAAGGGGGGAGGTGTATGAGATGTTAGAACAAAGAGATGAGACTAAGATGTTTGGGAAGCCTCATCCACTACCTAAGAAAGCAGGACAGGTGCCGGTGCAAGGAGATCCTTATTGCAGGTACCATCGTGACTATGAACATTGGACGAACAACTGCAAGGAGCTCAAGGATGAGATTGAGAGGCTTATCAAAGCGGGGCATTTGAAGGAGTTTGTGGCTCTAGATAAGGAGAAGAAAGATGATTTGGAAGGGGGAGAGAAGAAGCGGAGACAAGAGGAGCAGGGTGAGAGAGCTCCTAAAAGGGGGGTGATCCATATGATTGTCGGGGGATCGACGGATGGTGATTCCAATGGGGCTAGACGAGCTAATCTGAGGGCGGATTGGAAGAGTTTGGCTGAGGTTCAGATGTCTCAGGTTATGCCGGAGTTGAAATTTGGTACGGGGGATTCCCAGGGGGTGCTGGTGCCCCATAACGATGCTTTGGTGGTAGCGGTGGAGATTGCGGGGTATGATGTGGAGAGGATACTTGTTGACACGGGGAGCTCTGCTGATATAATGTTTTATGGGTGTTTTAGGCAGATTGACCTTGATGTTGAAATCACCCCGATTAGAACATCGTTGTTTGGTTTTAGCGGGGTAGAGGTTGTACCAATAGGGGAGATACAGTTGCCGATGGTGTTGGGAGCTCCTTCTTTGAAGAAGGTGAAGATGGTTCGATTTGTGGTGGTAAAGGCGGAGTCAGCTTACAATGTCATATTGGGGCGACCTAGCTTGAACTCTTTTCAGGCGGCAGTCTCCACATATTGTATGAAGATGAAGTTCCCGGTGGGAGAGCTAGTAGGTGAGGTGACGGGGGACCAGCGGTTGGCCAGAACTTGTTACCAAACGGTGCTGAAGGCGGGTAATAAGAGGAAGTTTGTGGAGGAGACCTCAAGCAAAGTCAAGGAGGAGAGCTCGTGCAAAGGGAAAGAGGCTAGAACGAAGATGGTTCCGCAGGAGGAGCATATGGAGATTGCTCTGGTGGGAGGAGAGTCGGAGAAGGTGACGAGGGTAGGTAAGGAGATGGGAGAAGACATTAAGGTACGGTTCAAGCAGAAGATGTGTATAGCTCATGCCAAGAAGGTGAAGCAGAGGCAGTTCCAGGCGGGTGACCATACATCATCCAGAATGAGTCTGCAGGAGGAACTTATGAGCTGAAAGTTCCAGAGGGTAAGGTCTTTTCTAGGCTTTGGAATATTGCAAATCTTAAAAAATATTATTGCTAGTTTGATTGTAACTCTTGAGTTGTTTTTGAAACACTTATGATTTGGTTACTGAATCAATGAAAACTTTGAGGTTGTTCATGAAACATCTGTGTTTTAGCTGGTGAATCAATGAAAATTTTGTAGTTGTTTATGCAATATGTGTGTTTTGGGTTGCTGAATGAACTAAGTATGGATGGCATGCTTATGAATTAAGAAGCATTTTTTAGCAAAATTTTCTTTTTGCTAAGTGTAAACAGCTCGGAAGAAGATGATAAAGTGTGACGGCTTAAGGCCGAGCTCTTGGAGCTCGGGTGCTGTTCAAAAGGTGTGCGGCTTAAGGCCGAGCTCTTGGAGCTCGGGTGCTGTTCAAATGGTGTGACGGCTTAAGGCCGAGCTCTTGGAGCTCGGGTGCTGTTCAAAATGGTGTAACGGCTTAAGGCCGAGCTCTTGGAGCTCGGGTGCTGTTCAAAATGGCGTAACGGCTTAAGGCCGAGCTCTTGGAGCTCGAGTGCTGTTCAAAATGGTATAACGGCTTAAAGTCGAGCTCTTGGAGCTCGGGTGCTGTTCAAAATAGTGTAACGGCTTAAGGTCGAGCTCTTGGAGCTCGGGTGCTGTTCAAAATGGTGTAACGGCTTAAGGCCGAGCTCTTGGAGCTCGGGTGCTGTTCAAAATGGTATAGCAGCTTAAGGCCGAGCTCATGGAGCTCGGGTGCTGTTCAAAATGGTGTGACGGCTTAAGGTCGAGCTCTTGGAGCTCGGGTATTGTTCAAAAGGTGTGACGGCTTAAGGCCGAGCTCAACGAGCTCGAGTGCCGTACAAAGACAGTGCTGGTGTGAGGTCTAGCTCATTTTGAGTAACAGCTACTCACGCATAGTGTACTAAGTAGACAAGCTATTGACACCGAGCTAATGAATGTGTATGACCGAGCTCGTTTCAAGTAACCCAACTACTCACGCATAGTGCGCTAAGTAGACAAGCTACTGAAACTGAGCTGATGAAGGTGTATGACCGAGCTCGTTTTAAGTAACCCAACTAATCATGCACAGTGTGCTAAGTAGCCGGGCTATGAAAACCGAGTTCATGAAAGTGTATGACTGAGCTCATTTCGTGTAACCCAGCTATTCATATCTATTGTGCTACGAGGTTAGAACAGTAAAACCCAACATATGAATATGTTGTGACCGAGCTCATTACGGGTAATCTACCTAGCAGGGAGGCTCATTAGCTCGTCTAGCGACTGCTCGGCCTAGCAAGGAGGCTCATCAGCTCGTCCTAGAAGAGAAGCTAATGAGCTCGTCTTAACATTTGTTCGGCCTAGTAGGGAGGCTCATCAGCTCATCCTAGCAGGGAAGCTGATGAGCTCGTCTTAACATCTGCTCGGCCTAGCAGGGAGGCTCATCAGCTCATCCTAGCAGGGAAGCTAATGAGCTCGTCTAGCGACTGCTCGGCCTAGCAGGGAGGCTCATCAGCTCGTCTTAGCATCTGCTCGGCCTAGCAGGGAGGCTCATCAGCTCGTCCTAGCATCTGCTCGGCCTAGCAGGGAGGCTCATTAGCTCGTCCTAGATGATATAGCCCGGTCAAAGAGTTGAAGTAATCAGCTCGGATTTTGTGTTAAAGCTCGGAAGAGGAGCTGGTTCACATAGCCCGGTCTTTCTGCTCGGAGGAAGAGTGGGGGTTAATCAGCTCGGCTTTTCTTTTAACGGCTCGGACACGGGTATAAGATAAAGAAACTTGGTTATTTTGATGTTATTATCAAACAAGTCTATGGAAATTCGCAGAATAATAGCTTATTTGATAATGGGGGGACTAAATGATATGGCACATAATAACAAATCGGTAAACCGGGAGGAATTGGCTCGGCTTAGCAAACCGGAGTTAGTTAATTTCAAAGTTTAATAGTAACAACAGCTCGGCCTTAAGGTGCTCGGCCTTAACGTGCTCGGCCTTAATGTGTTCGGCCTTAAGGTGCTCTGACTTAATGTGCTCTGCCTTAATGTGTTCGGCCTTAAGGTGCTCGGCCTTAATGTGCTCGGCCTTAATAAGGTGCTCGGCCTTAATGTGCTCGGCCTTAATAAGGTGCTCGGCCTTAACGTGCTCGGCCTTAATGTGCTCGGCCTTAACGTGCTCGGCCTTAATGTGCTCGGCCTTAAGGTGCTCGACCTTAATATGCTCGGCCTTAACATGCTCAACCAAGGGTTGCAGTTAGAGTATAGGTGTAACGTGGTGAGCTGGTGATGGCTTGATCGGGTTACCGAGCAAGTTAATTAGTCTAGGAGCATGGAAGACGGTAGTCTAGAATTAGGTTAGGGGCCGAGCAGATGCAGTAGTTATGGAGAACAGTTTATGAGGGACACGTGTAGCGTCAGAATCAAAATGGAATAAACGATCAAACGGAGGAGGAACAAAGCGTGTTGGGAAAGCTAATAACTTCATATAAATAGGTAAACCATTGGAGGAGGTAAGGGTACACATTCTACAAACCCTAAATTCTATACACAGCTTCCTTCTATCTTTGATCTCTTACTGACTTGAGGTTTGGAGGTTTATCGCCGGGAGCACCTCCCGGCGTCTTTGCAGGTCTCTGAGCGGTCAGGGAGCAGAGGGAAGCCGGTTCAAGTGCATGAGCACATCAAATTTAGTGTACAACTAGGTTGACAATACAAGTAAAAATATTTACTTATTTATTTTTTTATTTTTATTTTTTGTGGACGTTAGTCTACACTAAAACATGAATAATTTCATAGGTTGTTTTGAACGTTAAGAAGAGTGACGAATAAATAAGCGGGTCGGATAAGAATTGACTAATCCCAAAATTTTGCACGAATATCACCAGTTTTTTGCCTTGCCTTAAAACAAGATCCCGATTATGTATTATTTGCCACCTTAATCGTATCGTATGGCTCCAAAACCAAGCAAAATAACAATAATAATAGTAATAATAATAATAACGGCAACAATTAAAAGTATGAGATGATAATAATCTTAATGTAAGAAAAGAATAACAAATTAAAGAATACCCACAAAAAAGGGTCTATAAGCTTCAACTTACATATTTACAGTGCTCGATTCAATGGACATAACAAAATAAAAATGAAAGTTGTTCGAGTCAATATTCCACTGCATTTCACATGCTAGAATTTGCATAAGATAAAAGATTATGCTGTCACAAACCGGTATTGTCACGTGAATGGAAGTTGTATGGTGTAATTAATATGAATTTTTGTAATAGCCAATACAATAAATTGGTAAATTTATGCGTTACGCTAATAAAATTTAGGCATGAAACTATGTCGTGAAATTAATAATAACTTAGGAACCAATTATGTGCATATACACAAATCAATAAAATATTTTTCTGTATATATACAAAGATCTAAATAAAATATTATTAATTATATGTATGTATATTATATTTCAAATCATAAGTTATATAGCCGGAATATCACATTCGATAAATTTAATAATTAACAAAAATGAACAATATAATTATAAGTGATTTTACTTATAAATATTAATTTAATATTATTATATCACTTATTCACTCAATTTTAAAGGATTTTATTGCGCAAATTGTCTTCCAATCTGGTTTGAAATGTAATTTGTTGACCCAATCCGCTTCGTCGCCACCGATGACCTGCAAAACGCCGGGAGGGGTCCCGTAGGAAAAGACTATGACACTCAAGTCAGTCCGTGTGCAACGAAAATGTAGCAGTATGTTGTGTGTGTATGTGTCTTCTATAAAATAAAAAACATGGATGCCTTTTTATACTGCTCCTGGTTAAGAAATAGATCTTCACATATCCACATTCCTAACCGACTAGATGTCCCATATCTTGAGTCCTTGAGGACAAAATTTCCGTCCATAAAGGATTATCTCTCCTCCTTTTGTACTCCTAAGTCTGAGGTCGTCATCCTAACCTCTGGACTACCAGGGCCCAAGTATGTCGAGGTATTCGCTCTAACCTCAACTCTGATCAATTATGCCTGTGGTGATGTCTTACCCATAGTCGTGCTCCAGAGGTCCCTTAACTTCCGAGTTGCATACCTCCCAAGCCATTAGGATTGCCATTCCCCATAGGAGTAGGAGGTCATCACTAGAACCCTAATACTCGAGGTCGCCAATATACCGGAAGGTTCCAACATCGTCGCTCCATCCTCTGAACCGACTTGTCCCAAGTAGAAATTGTTCTGATACCATGTAAGAGTTCGGAGGTAGAAACAGGTGCGGTCCCACGCAGATGAAGCGCACCAACAGAAAAACCCAAATGAAGCCCAAGTGAGGTTCCATCCCAAAACCAATTGGTTCTGGAATGGAACTTCACTAAGATGCACCTAGGCTCACCCTCTTATGGTGCGCTTCACCTGGTGGGACCGCACCCTTTTCCCTCGGTTATAATATGGTATCAGGGCGGGCCTGTCCTAGGACCTACAATAACTCTATCTACCCGACCTGCTCTGGGCTTGGACTCTATATCTCTACCCGGCCTGCTATGGGCTTCGGCTTATGAAGGACTCACAAGTGAGGGGGCGTGTTAGAATATCACTTTTGAGTTGTCTCACATTGATCCTACAGGTAAATGAGTCTATTATATAAGCCTATTGGATTACTCTTCACATCACCAATTAGTTTTGGAATGGAACTTCACTTGAGTTTCATTTGGACTTTCATGTTGGTGAGCTTCATCTGCGTGGGACCGCACCTATTTCTACCCCCGAATTCTTACAGGCCTTTATGTGAAAGAGAACCCTAAATTTGGATTTAATTAACACAATACTTAAAAGTGGAATGTAAACACCACATAAACTATATAGATTTTTATTTGCAAAATAAATCTGAACATTTATTTCAATTATAAATTAAACAAAACTTTTCAATTTTGATAGTTTATTTCTATTGAAACCCTCTCTCTCTCTCGCTCCCAAAAATCAACCCAAAACCCTAGCCGGTAAGCTCGCCAATTGAAGCTCCCTCGCCGAAAATTCGCGTCCGACGGTGGACGGCCTCCATCACTCGTCCATGGGAGGCACAATCCTCGTCTCAATTGCTGCAGCGGGGCTCTGTCTGAGCGTCGGATTTCGTCGGCCATCGGAGATATATTCTCTGTTCAGGTCGCGCGCCGGAGTTCAGGGGCCGTCGGCGTTGATTGGGGTGCGGTGTGGGCTCATGGACGAGGCTGGGTTAGCTGCACTTGGCTCTGGTTGGGACGCCACCTATTCTTCCGGACTGCCTTTCTCGCTGCCGATCAAGACCGCGCCTTTCCGCCGGCGAAGCGGCGTTTGGAGGCTTGCCCTTTCTTTTGCTGCTTTTGTCTCGGTTTTTTTATTTGTCTGTGATCGGAAGGACCTCTCGGTTCTTCCTGGGCGAGTTGGAATCGGTTGTTCACGAGGAGCGGGCCGTGGTTACTGTTTGTGCTCGGCTGTTCGTTTGTGTTTCAGTCGTTTCGGTTTGGGATGAATGGTTTGCTATCTCAGTCGGGCTGATTCGGTGAAGCCGAGCCGTGTAGTTTTCTTCACGCGATTGGAGTGCGGGCCAATCCTTCGACTAGTTCAGGGGTGCGGGTACCCGTCTTGCTAGGCCTTAAGCAGTGGCGGGCAGTTGATTTCCGGGCTCGAGAGCTGTTGTTGGAGATGGTTTGTCTGTCGTCTTTCTCAATGTTCATGGCGAGGGAGGTTGTGTCTCTTTCTATTTTTGTTTATGGTTTGTTTTTTTGTTGTTAGGTTGTGGTTCAGGTTTTTGCTTCTTTAGGTTTGTGTTTTTGGTCTGGGCCGTTTGGCCTCTGTGTAGCCGGGTGTCACTTCATTATCCCACTGGGATCCGACACTCGGATATTACTCCGCTGGGGTCTTTTTAGTTGTTTGTTGTTTTAGTTTTTTTAGTTGGGTAGTTTTAGTTGCGAGCTTTATTCTAGCGTTGCTAGTCGGGACTTTAGGCGGTCTTCTGACCTGTCCTCCCACTTTTTTTCAGCTGTTGGCTGCTGTGTATTCGCACATTTGTGCATTTTGAGTTATAATATTATCTGTCGTTTTGGAAAAAAAAAAAATAGTTTATCTTGTGAATATCGAACTTCTTGTAAATTAGAGTAGGGACCAACAAGCCCCTAGGGCATAGCCTGCTGGTAGCACGAGTGCTCTCTGTAGGTCTGAGTGCTTTGCGTAGGGGATCAAGTCCTAGAGGGAGGGAACACTCGACAACTTTTTCTTCATTTAGAGAAAAGAGGACAAATTGGCAATCGCCTATGTGGCGTTAGTCCTTCGTCTTGATCAAATCCCTCATTTTACCTCCCGAGGTAGTCGAGGGGTCGGATACGAGGATCTAAAACTGACTGGCGTAACCATGAAACCTACGTAAAAAAAAATTAAAATAAATATATACCACAACTTTGTTTTTGTAAATTTATAAAACCAAAATTTAATTAGATTTAATCATGTTCATCAAAGTCATATAAAATAAAT